GCTAAGTCCTAGTATATATCGTCACAAACAGAACTGCCCGGTAAAACCATAGGCAAAGAGAGAGAAGAGGACAACAAACGAGGGGCTGTGACAAACTGTTTCGTCGGAGTTTCACCGACTCATCAGGAGGCTGAACCGTCAACAGTCTGCAAAATCCCCTCACTGATTACACTGTAAATGATAATCTACCTTAACCAAAATCAAAGTAGACTATCACTCACCCACACCAGATGGAAAACTCTACAGACTGTCGGTTCACACCCCATCACAAGCCAGCAAAACATCAAGGGCAGACGCTGACCTCCAACAAAAAGAAGTAGTTTTATTGGAATACAAGAGGTTTTTCTTTTTGAAATCCGAATAGAAAGGGTACAGATTGTATTCGAATACAACGTGTAGGATCTGCACCGTTTCAATTTCGAAAAAGGACAACCCGCACCGTTTCAATTTCGAAAAAGGACTGCGGCCTCCTCGGCCTCCTACTCGCAGCTACCGGTCCTACGCGTTCCTGGCCCTTGCAAGGCCCCAAAACCTCAAATGCCCACCCTCCCGACGACCACCGATGTTGAAATTGACGTTGAACGTTGAATGTCTCAGGGGGGGAAAACGCAACCCTGACGGGCTGCGAACAAGGGCCCCACATTGGATCAATGGGGTCTTAGGTCTCATGCCCCACATTTTGGCTGTGTAGCCTACCTTACCCTCCCCCAACCGCATCAACATACAAACTAGGGGCTGTGCACCCGTGCCCTCACGGTAAGTCAATGTAAGCCTTGTGCAGCCAAGCCTGGCGCAAAGACCTAGAGTCAGCAGGACGTCCTTTTCCAATTTTGTGCGCGGGCGAGGCCCCTCTTCCACGCCCTACATTCCTGACCGTCGATTCGACGAAGAACGACGGCCATAAGTCAATGTGGATCCAGGTCAGTGGGACACGCGTGATTGATGAGGCGTGTGTCTGTGTGTGTGTTTCGTCGGACTTTCACGGACTCTAGAAGTGTGAGTGTGTGTGTGTGTGTGTGTGTTTCGTCGGACTTTCACGGACTTTAGAAGTGTGTGTGTGTGTGTGTGTGTGTTTCGTCGGACTTTCACGGACTTTAGAAGTGTGTGTGTGTGTGGGCGTTTGCCTGTGGGGTCTTGTTTTGCGTGTCCACGAGAACAACCCGTCGGTCCGCGGTTATAAACGGAAAGGCACCGGTGTTATGTAGCTGTTGTTGAATAGATCGACGGTCACAACACACGGACAGATGACATTTGTCATCACCCTTCTTGCCCGAGTCTTCAAACGACTGTCACGCGCACGTCGGCATCTTGAAGGACAAGTGCTTCCTCTTCGTGTTCTTCTCCTCCCAAGTAGGCGGAACGCTAGAGCCTCCATTTCTTTCTGTTTCTTCGAGACCTCGATTAATTTCATTAATTTGATCGTGTCCGTCCAAAGACAAAGGTAACAAAAAGAGAAGAAAAAAAACAGAGAGAGACAAAGGTGGGTAAACGTCACAAATCAAGCAGCAGCTTGAGCAGCAGGAAGAGGAGGAGGAAGAGGAGGAGGAGGAGGAGAAGGAGAAAGAGGAGGGAGAAGAAGAGGGAAGAGGACCATCGTCCTTCGATATTGTTCTTATTCTCATCTGGCCTCGAACGCCCACGTTGTCATTCGTTAGCTCTCGTGGTCAGGTAGCGGACGGGAAGGAAGGAGGGGGAGGAGGAGGTAAACAAAGAAGACCAAAAAGAACAAGGGGGAGAAGGAGGAGGAGGAAGAAGAAGAGGAAGAAGGGTGAAGAGGAGGAGAAAGACGAAGAAAAAGGACAAGAAGGAGGAGGAGAAAGACGAAGAAGAACAAGCAGCTCTTGCTGGAAGAGTTGTCGTTGGGGTTGATCCGCTTTTCCAGCCGTGAAGTCCTGCTCTGTGGTGCAGTGGTCACACACTGTCCGTGATGACACTTGCAGAGTGCTGCTGGTCCTCTTGCTGCCAGCAGGAGTACCATGGTTCGTTCTACCATGGTTCTCAAGTTCTCTTGCCTCGTTCGTGATTGATCCAACATGATGCCCCTAGATTGCAAGAGTGTTGTGCCTGGAGAAGTATAAGCGCTACGGTTGCTTAGGACAAGATGTCGCAAGAGACGTGTGCGAACAGTGCTAACGGCAAGTGAAGGAAGAGATACGGTAGTTTCTCTGTATGACGTGCGTAAATCTCTTATATGTCGTCTTCCAGATCAGATCATTCTCCTCCTCCTCCTCCTTGTCCTCCCCGTGCGTCTTCTCTATCGCACTCCTGTACTGCATAAACTTACTGTAGTAATTTTAAAACTAGCCACACACACACACACACACACACACACACAGACATACACACAGACATACACACACACACACACACA